AGTAGCCAGAACGCACTTCTCAGCCTACTATGCAAGGCCCAAATTGCCTAATAAGCCAAGTTTTCATGAATTAATATATTTTCTCTAATTTTTTCTTATGAAATAATAAAGCTACCCATTTCATAATGTATGAGGTCAGTTTTTTGTTATTAGAGTTAAAATTAACATAGGTATATGACCGAACCTAACCAACCCTACCTAACCTAACCTAACCTATCTCTATAGGTTAGGTTAAGTTAGGTAGCCGAAAAAGTTAGGTTAGGTTAGGTTAGGTAGGTTAGGTAGTCGAAAAACAATTAATTCATGAAAACTTGGCTTATTAGGCAAATTGGGCCTTGCATAGTAGGCCTAGAAGTGCATTCTGGCTACTAGGTACGACATATATATATATATATATATATATATAACTGAAAACTCACACCCCAGAAGTGACTCGAACCCATACTCCCAGATGCCACGCAACTGGTATGTACAAGACGCCTTAATCCACTTGACCATCACGACCGGACATAATGAGGTGATAGCCGAGGCTATTTGAACCACCCCACCGCCGGCACTCGGATAGTAATCTTGGGCATAGCATTTTACCAAATCACCTCATTCTTTGGGGCACACGTGAGGAACACAAATGCGAACAAGCCTGAATGGTCCCCAGGACAATATGCAACTGAAAACTCACACCCCAGAAGTGACTCGAACCCATACTCCCAGATGCCACGCAACTGGTATGTACAAGACGCCTTAATCCACTTGACCATCACGACCGGACATAATGAGGTGATAGCCGAGGCTATTTGAACCACCCCACCGCCGGCACTCGGATAGTAATCTTGGGCATAGCATTTTACCAAATCACCTCATTCTTTGGGGCACACGTGAGGAACACAAATGCGAACAAGCCTGAATGGTCCCCAGGACAATATGCAACTGAAAACTCACACCCCAGAAGTGACTCGAACCCATACTCCCAGATGCCACGCAACTGGTATGTACAAGACGCCTTAATCCACTTGACCATCACGACCGGACATAATGAGGTGATAGCCGAGGCTATTTGAACCACCCCACCGCCGGCACTCGGATAGTAATCTTGGGCATAGCATTTTACCAAATCACCTCATTCTTTGGGGCACACGTGAGGAACACAAATGCGAACAAGCCTGAATGGTCCCCAGGACAATATGCAACTGAAAACTCACACCCCAGAAGTGACTCGAACCCATACTCCCAGATGCCACGCAACTGGTATGTACAAGACGCCTTAATCCACTTGACCATCACGACCGGACATAATGAGGTGATAGCCGAGGCTATTTGAACCACCCCACCGCCGGCACTCGGATAGTAATCTTGGGCATAGCATTTTACCAAATCACCTCATTCTTTGGGGCACACGTGAGGAACACAAATGCGAACAAGCCTGAATGGTCCCCAGGACAATATGCAACTGAAAACTCACACCCCAGAAGTGACTCGAACCCATACTCCCAGATGCCACGCAACTGGTATGTACAAGACGCCTTAATCCACTTGACCATCACGACCGGACATAATGAGGTGATAGCCGAGGCTATTTGAACCACCCCACCGCCGGCACTCGGATAGTAATCTTGGGCATAGCATTTTACCAAATCACCTCATTCTTTGGGGCACACGTGAGGAACACAAATGCGAACAAGCCTGAATGGTCCCCAGGACAATATGCAACTGAAAACTCACACCCCAGAAGTGACTCGAACCCATACTCCCAGATGCCACGCAACTGGTATGTACAAGACGCCTTAATCCACTTGACCATCACGACCGGACATAATGAGGTGATAGCCGAGGCTATTTGAACCACCCCACCGCCGGCACTCATTATGTCCGGTCGTGATGGTCAAGTGGATTAAGGCGTCTTGTACATACCAGTTGCGTGGCATCTGGGAGTATGGGTTCGAGTCACTTCTGGGGTGTGAGTTTTCAGTTGCATATTGTCCTGGGGACCATTCAGGCTTGTTCGCATTTGTGTTCCTCACGTGTGCCCCAAAGAATGAGGTGATTTGGTAAAATGCTATGCCCAAGATTACTATCCGAGTGCCGGCGGTGGGGTGGTTCAAATAGCCTCGGCTATCACCTCATTATGTCCGGTCGTGATGGTCAAGTGGATTAAGGCGTCTTGTACATACCAGTTGCGTGGCATCTGGGAGTATGGGTTCGAGTCACTTCTGGGGTGTGAGTTTTCAGTTGCATATTGTCCTGGGGACCATTCAGGCTTGTTCGCATTTGTGTTCCTCACGTGTGCCCCAAAGAATGAGGTGATTTGGTAAAATGCTATGCCCAAGATTACTATCCGAGTGCCGGCGGTGGGGTGGTTCAAATAGCCTCGGCTATCACCTCATTATGTCCGGTCGTGATGGTCAAGTGGATTAAGGCGTCTTGTACATACCAGTTGCGTGGCATCTGGGAGTATGGGTTCGAGTCACTTCTGGGGTGTGAGTTTTCAGTTGCATATTGTCCTGGGGACCATTCAGGCTTGTTCGCATTTGTGTTCCTCACGTGTGCCCCAAAGAATGAGGTGATTTGGTAAAATGCTATGCCCAAGATTACTATCCGAGTGCCGGCGGTGGGGTGGTTCAAATAGCCTCGGCTATCACCTCATTATGTCCGGTCGTGATGGTCAAGTGGATTAAGGCGTCTTGTACATACCAGTTGCGTGGCATCTGGGAGTATGGGTTCGAGTCACTTCTGGGGTGTGAGTTTTCAGTTGCATATTGTCCTGGGGACCATTCAGGCTTGTTCGCATTTGTGTTCCTCACGTGTGCCCCAAAGAATGAGGTGATTTGGTAAAATGCTATGCCCAAGATTACTATCCGAGTGCCGGCGGTGGGGTGGTTCAAATAGCCTCGGCTATCACCTCATTATGTCCGGTCGTGATGGTCAAGTGGATTAAGGCGTCTTGTACATACCAGTTGCGTGGCATCTGGGAGTATGGGTTCGAGTCACTTCTGGGGTGTGAGTTTTCAGTTGCATATTGTCCTGGGGACCATTCAGGCTTGTTCGCATTTGTGTTCCTCACGTGTGCCCCAAAGAATGAGGTGATTTGGTAAAATGCTATGCCCAAGATTACTATCCGAGTGCCGGCGGTGGGGTGGTTCAAATAGCCTCGGCTATCACCTCATTATGTCCGGTCGTGATGGTCAAGTGGATTAAGGCGTCTTGTACATACCAGTTGCGTGGCATCTGGGAGTATGGGTTCGAGTCACTTCTGGGGTGTGAGTTTTCAGTTGCATATTGTCCTGGGGACCATTCAGGCTTGTTCGCATTTGTGTTCCTCACGTGTGCCCCAAAGAATGAGGTGATTTGGTAAAATGCTATGCCCAAGATTACTATCCGAGTGCCGGCGGTGGGGTGGTTCAAATAGCCTCGGCTATCACCTCATTATGTCCGGTCGTGATGGTCAAGTGGATTAAGGCGTCTTGTACATACCAGTTGCGTGGCATCTGGGAGTATGGGTTCGAGTCACTTCTGGGGTGTGAGTTTTCAGTTGCATATTGTCCTGGGGACCATTCAGGCTTGTTCGCATTTGTGTTCCTCACGTGTGCCCCAAAGAATGAGGTGATTTGGTAAAATGCTATGCCCAAGATTACTATCCGAGTGCCGGCGGTGGGGTGGTTCAAATAGCCTCGGCTATCACCTCATTATGTCCGGTCGTGATGGTCAAGTGGATTAAGGCGTCTTGTACATACCAGTTGCGTGGCATCTGGGAGTATGGGTTCGAGTCACTTCTGGGGTGTGAGTTTTCAGTTGCATATTGTCCTGGGGACCATTCAGGCTTGTTCGCATTTGTGTTCCTCAACCATTCAGGCTTGTTCGCATATATATATATATATATATATATATATATATATATATATATATATATATATATATATATATATATATATATAACTAATGGGCAAATACTATTTGCCCATTAGCTATGCTATGCCGAGGCTATTTGCCCTAATGGGCTGATGGGCAACTAGCCTCGGCTACCATCAGCTTTTGACCAGTCGTGATGGTCGAGTGGATAAGGTGTCCTGTACACACCAGTTGCATTGTGCGCCTGGCAGTATGGGTTCGAGTCATTCCTGGGGTGTGAGTTTTCAGTTGCATATAGTCCTGGGGACCATTCAGGCTTGTTCGCATTTGTGTTCCTCACGTGTGCCTTAAAGAATGAGGTGATTTGATAAAATACTATGCCCAAGATTACCATCAGAGTGCCGGCAGGCTGATGTTCAAATAGCCTTGGCTACCATCAGCTTTTGACCGGTCATGATGGTCAAGTGGGATAAGGTGTCCTGTACACACCAGTTGCAAACTCACACTGAAAACACTAACTGAAAACTCACACCCCAGAAGTGACTCGAACCCATACTGCCAAGAGCACTATGCAACTGGTGTACAAGGCACCTTATCCACTCGACCATCATGATCGGACAAAAGCTGATGGTAGCCGAGGCTATTTTCCCATCAGCCCACTGGCACTCTGATGGTAATCTTGGGCATAGTATTTTTAAGCCCGTAGCAGCTGTCTAACTTCCAGGCACTTATTTACTGCTAGGTGAACAGAGGCATCAGGGTGAAAGAAACTGCCCATTTATTTCCACCTCCACTGAGGATTGAACCCGGAACCGCAGAACTACAAATCTGAAGCGCTATCTATTCAGCTGTCAGGCCCCCCTCTAAATAGGGTAGGTGCATATTGTTAACTTTGATCCGATATAATTTACCAGCTTAATTATTAATATTTTATAAAAGACTGCACTCAGCTTTACATACACATGTATACATGAGGGTAAATATGTAATCACAGGTAATATGTTAAGTAATTTGCTGAGATTTTGTGGCTAGAATTCTTGAGCTCACTTGTGAACTGTAATTTACTATTTGTGTTACATCTTATTATTAACAAACCATGATTGTTATCTTGTCGTGTGAGTGTTGGTGTGCCTAAGTGTTGATCACTTACAGGTGCGGCTGCCCCCACGGGATGGTACGGGCCGATGGAACCTGTGTTTCCTCAGCGGCCGCCGAGCCGGCCACCAACGCCCCCGCCCACCTGGGGGGGACACGGGCGGGTCCAGGCACCACCAACAGGAAACCCACCATGACAAGAGGCACTGGCGGCAGCGTGGCGGAGCCTCTACTAGTCTGTCTCCTCATTTTTGTCTCCTTCTGCATTCTGATGCTCGTTATCACCTATAGCTTTCGTATTCGCAGTCGTCGCCTGGCGGTGAGGACCACTTACCGAGAGGTGAGGGCATCCGACCTCAGTAATGGTTCAGTCGCCAGTCTTATGGACAACCACAACACCATGGTGCCACCTCCACCTCCGTCCTACGAGCAGGCTACCCTCCGTGTGGCTGAGCTCTATACCTCGCCCTCTGCTGCGCCACACACCTCCTCCAGCAGGTATTGGAGCCGCACCGCCAGCACTGTGACGGTTCCTTCCACCTCCTCTCCTGATATGTCCTCCAGCCTCAGCTATGGCTCCCTGCTGACTAGGTCTTTCCTGCTGACGCCATCAGACTCCGCGCCATCTCTAACTGATCTAACAACTGCCACTGGGCGCCATGGTCACGATGCCCCACAACATGAACGATACTAACAACTGTAGGTGATGCGTGCCTGTAACAATCACTTACAGTTACTTGCTAACAAACAATGGTAAACAAGCAGGATTTTTTATTTTTTTATTATTTTTCTACCACAGACGTGGCCACACATTTACAATGCTAACCAGCATATATAGATTTACACTAGCCTTCACCAGCTCTCTGTACTAGCAACGGCTGTAAATAACCAGGAGTGTTGCTAACGAACATCTACACCTTACAGCCTGTTACCAACACCCGCATTTGACTACAAGTGCTGCAGCTAAATTTACCTGAAGGGCCACTAGAGCCATTAACGCCTCTAGTGGCCTCGGTGAGGACAGGAAGCCAACGGCTTGTCAAAGGTCCTTCACATTTGTTCTTATGATTTTTTTTCCAGCTGTAGTTTAAAAATTAATACAGTTTTGCCAGTTACAGCTTCGGCGGGTAGGCAGTTCCATGGGTTAGTAACCCTGTGGGTGAAAAAAGCATCTCCTGGTCCCTGTCCAACATTGTGGCTTGTTGAGCTTGAAACCATTGTTTCTTGTTTGTGTTCCATGTGACCTTTTGAAGAAATTGTCCCGATCAACATTCTCTAATTTGTTCAGTATTTTAAAAGTTTCAATAAGATCCGCCCTAGCTGTCATGTCTTGAGTTCTAACACCAGCTGCAGCTGATCACTAGACCTGCTTAGAAACACCTTCAGCTCTATAAATTTATATTAACACCTGCAGCTTCGTTTTATACAATGTATTTTATAACAAATTGTCAAAATCAAATAATATTTTTTTTAACACCTTTTGAAAAATCTAGTACGAGAATTTTGCTATATATTTTATTCTATTAAAGTTGTCATTGATTTAGAGATGATACTTAGCGCGATATTGGCCCTTAGGTTGGACCCTATAACAAGGGTAATTGCGCACCGCTCTTCATACAACTTGACATATTAATACTAACATTTCAGACGTATATGGATGCCCTGGTCATCACAATCGCCAACTTCATTTAAAAGTATTTAGTCCATGTTTACATGTGGGAGAGGAAGAAGTCAACGACAAATCAAGGAGAAAATACAAACCAGGATGCCATGTAGGGATGAAGCTTTAGCGTCCCCCCCTTTTTGGGGGCCCCGAAAAATATGCGCCTTAGCATCTCTTTTTTGTTTTTGGAAAAGGAGACACTACGTTCTTAAAGGATTCTAATGGGGAAAATTCGAGGCAAAAGGAGACACTGAGTTCTTAAAGTTTTCTTATGGGAGAAATTCGGGAAAATTTTGCTGCTGAGTTCTTAAAGGATTCTTATGGTGGAAATTCATACCAAAAAATGACGTGTTTGAACTTAAAGGTTTCTTATGGAGGAAATTTAAGACAATAGTTACTTTTTTGGACTTAAAAGGTTTCTTATGGAGGAAATTCGAGACGAAAGTTACTCATTTGGTATTAAAAGTTTTTTATAAGGGAAATTCAAATTTTTTTCAGAGTTCAGTTTTATAAAAATAATTCAGAGTTCACATAATCATATATAATTCAAATAGAATTCATATATAGTTCATATAGAAGTTTTGTTTAGGAAAATAGGCATTTTAGCATAAGCTTTAGTTTTTATATCCATTTACCGCTGTGTCACACTAGTTGAAGACCGAAATATGTCAGAGTTTAGTTTAAGAACAAATTAATTTCAGAGACCATTTAGAAGATCAGTTGAAGACCAAAATATTTTCAAAGTTCAGTTTAAGACCCAAACAATTTCAGAGACCAGATGAAGACTGGAAATTTGTCAGAGTTCAGTTAAAGACCAAAATTTCTCAAAGACCATTTTAAGACCTAATTTCTTCAGAGTCCGTTTTATGACCGAAAATTGGTCAGAGACCAGTTAAAGACCTAATTTCTTCAGAATCTAGTTGAAGACCGAATTTCTTCAGAGTCCAGTAAAAATGCCTAAATTATTCAAGGACCATATAAGACCGAAATAATTTCAGAGACCATTTCAAGACCAAAAATATGACAGAGTCCATTTAAGAACAAAATTAGTCAGTGTAAAATTAGGGTAACACTTACAATGATATTAACCAAAATGATATTAACCAAAATTAAGGTACAATGGGTTGGCGAGATTACATATGAGTGGTATTTGTACATTCTTGCAAAACTTCTAACATGCATAGCGTTTTGGGCAGGTCCTTAGTCTAACATATCAGCTAAGGTGAAAAGGTACATTGTAGCAAGGTTTTATATTTATTTATTTATTTATTTATATATATACAAGAAGGTACATTGGGATTGTGAGGATACAGAGCATAGTAATTACATTCTTGTAAAGCCACTAGTACGTGCAGCGTTTTGGGCAGGTCATTAATCTAAGAAACTTATAAGTAGGCAAATACTTGCAAAATTTATAAAAATGATGACAGTTACATAGCATGAAAAAAAAATAAAAGATGAGAGAAAAATTGTATGAATATTAAAGCACATAGGTAGCTCAGAATGATTGCAATGACAGCTTCAAACTTAACAGGTTTAACAAAACTTAGCAGGCACAATACAGCATATGGCTAGCACATAAAAGAAGACAACAATGAACACAATGATAAAGTTGTTTGGGTTAAGTACATAAAGATTGGGAGATTGGGTAACACTAGATACAGAGCAAATTTAAAGCTCAGTGTAGGAAACTACGAAGATGAAATTAGGTACTTTTTGTTTTTGTTTTTAAATGAGGCAAAAGTTTGACAGTTTTTCAATTCACTAGGGAGTGAGTTCCATAGACTAGGTCCCTTAATTTGCATAGAGTGTTTACACAGATTAAGTTTGACCCTGGGGATATCAAAGAGATATTTATTTCTGGTGTGGTGATAATGGGTCCTATTACATCTATCCAGGGAGAGTTTCAGAGCATGTTTTGCATTTAAGAACAGGGTTTTGTAAATGTAGTTGACACAAGAGAATGTGTGGAGGGAGTTAATATTTAGCAAGTTAAGGGATTTAAACAAGGGAGCTGAGTGTTGTCTGAAAACAGAGTTTTGTTATTATTCTGATAGCAGATTTTTGCTGGGTGATGATGGGCTTAAGGTGGTTTGCAGCGGTAGACCCCCATACACAGATACCATAATTAAGATAGTGTGACGGGAAAGTGTAGGAGTGTAGATGTTCGGCAGTCCTCCTAATGGCTGGTGTCAATGCCTGTCATATTTACAAAAAAAAAGAGACTGCTTGGCTGTTGTCTGTGGTAGAGTAAAGGAAAACACGCAAAACACATAGTATGAACAATGAAACTTTAATTAACTGGAAAGCAAATTTAAAAACAAAGACAATCCCTTGGCTATGTACAGTGCAAACAAACAAGTCATAAAATTTAAGAACAGGGTTAAAATACTCTAGGAATAATATAAGGACAAAATGACATAAACAGGTGCTGAGAATATAGTGCTAGCTGGGAACCTTCACCAATAAACAGGACGTGTATCAGTTGGTTGTTCACAGCTTGAGAGCACAAGGATATTCTGACTTAAATGGCTGGTTCAAGCCCAGACATCGACTTAGGTAGAGGGCGCTGAGGTGCACGTGTGCAGACGGCGGGTCACCAATCAGTAGCAGGCAGGCTGGAATGGTAGTTTGCCGGTTGACGACGGGCGAGCTGGCATGGAGGGAGTGTGGAGTGGGGGTTTAGGGTACGTTTTACCTCCTGGTCAAAACGTTTTGTGCTACTGGTAGACGTATCTTGAAAGTAGCGTCTTATTCTTGTATATGTGTAAGTAACTTTATGTAGGGAAGAGCAGGCCCAATCTCTCTTGAAAGAGATTATCGTCACAATAGGGATAGATTAGTGCATAATATAGTGAGAGGAGAGCAGAGTTAGGAACATCATATCTTATTTTGGAGAGTATACCAACTGTTTTAGAGACTTTCTTAGTTATGTGTTGAATGTGGGTGCTGAAGTTGAGTCTCTTGTCTAGGAATAGGCCAAGAAACTTTCCATCATTTTTATTACTGATGTTAATGTTGTCTATCTGTAGCTGAATTGCATTCGATGATTTGCTTCCAAAAAAGATGTAGTAGGTCTTTTCTATGTTTAGTGTTAGTTTGTTAGTTGACATCCATAAGTGGACTTTTTTAATTCATTATTCACAACATTATTTAGTGTATGTGGGTTGGGGTCTGAATAGATGAGGGTAGTATCATCAGCAAACAATATAGGTTTAAGAATATTAGAGACATTAGGCAGATCATTGATATATATATAAGAAATAGAAGAGATCCTAAGATGCTGCCCTGTGGCACTCCAATGGTTATTGGTAGAGTGGAAGAGATTGTATCATTGATGGTTACACACTGGTGTCTGTCACTAAGATAGGGTCGGATATAGCCCAGGGTAAGGACAATATCAACAAATAACTACAATATAAGTTGACAGAGGTGATTACACTGGTAAAGATATATGTTTTAAGTACTAATATTGAGGAAGTGGGTAGTACAAGATACAGTGTGAGTTTGAAGCACAAGGTAGGACACTATGAGGATGAAATTAGGTACTTTGGTTTTACTTTTGAATAGGGCATAGGATGGATAATTTTTTAATTTATCAGGGAGTGAGTTCCAAAAGCTGGGACCTTTTTATTTCCATGGAGTGTTTACACAGATTTAGTCTGACTCTGGGGATATCAAAGAGATATTTATTTCTGGTGTGGTGATCACGAGTTCCAAGGAAAGGTTTTAGTTCAAGATTAGCATTTAGGAACAAGGTTTTTGTACATGTTGATAGCACATTAGAATGTGTGGAGTGAGTGTATGTTCAGCATGTCAAAGGATTTAAACAGAGGGGATGTGTGTAGTCTGAAAACAGAGTTTGTTATAGTTTTGATACCAGATTTTTGCTGAGAGATGATGGGCTTAAGGTAATTTGCAGTGGTTAAACCACATGCACAGATACCGTATGTAAAACAGGGATAGATTCGTGTGTAGTATAATGATAGGAGGCCACAGTGGGGAACATAATATCTGATTTTAGAGTTTATATCGACTGTTTTTGAGACTTTTGTGGCTATGTGTTGTATATGGGTGCTAAACTTCCGTCTCTTGTCTATGTATAAGCCAAGGAACTTTCCCTAATTTTTATTGGTAATGTTAACATTGTCTATCTGAAGTTGAATCAGATTTGATGATTTACTACCAAATAGAATGTAGTAAGCCTTTTCTATGTTCATAGAGAAAATGGAGACTACGATCATGCACAACCACCTGGGCCGGTGAGCCACCTGTGGTATACCTGTCCAGGTGAGAGCGGGACAATCCATCTCATCGCGGTGAGTAGTGTCCCGCGCGCGCGGTCGTCTCCGTGTGATTAAGAGGAGGATGGTTAGGTTCGGGGTGAGTATGTGAACATTTGTAGCAGGTGTGTAGCATGTGTGCAGGAGTGAGTTGGTCTGTTTGCATGGTGTAGTGGTAGTAAGGGTTAGATGAGTGTTGAAAGTGTATGTTTTGTAAGCATAGAGTTGTATAGGAGTGTGTATGCCTAGAGAGAGTTAAAGCA